GAAGTTTTGTTAATGGTATATTTATGAAGATTTTGATATTATTCACTAAGAAGTATATGCAACTCCTTAAGGATTAGAATTGTTGTGTAATTTAAGTTTAAGATAAGTTGGAATCGCACCTGGCCTCCTAGCCTAGTGGCAACTGCGACAATCAAAGGTGCATCCCCCTCCCCTGGGTGGGTTCGACCCACCCCATGATCATTGTTCAAAAAAAAAAAAAAAAGATAAGTTGGAATCAACATTTAAGAAAATTTAAATATTTAGATATAAGATTCAAAATTTAAAATCAACATTCAAAAAAATTTAAATGCTTAGGTCTAAGATTCAAGTTTTGAGACTAGTACGTAAAGAAATTTGAATGTACTAGTCCCTCTAATACGGGGAGTTGTGCTTGAGAAAAAAATTAGTCTTCAAATATGCAAAAAAAATTGAAAACTGAACAGGAGACATATAGACCACAAATAAATAAAAAAAAATTATAAGATAATGTATATCAACTCTGACTTTTAAAAAAATTAGAGTTTTAATTTTAAATAATGTTGTTTCATTTAATTAAAATCCAATTCAAAATTTAAAAATTTATCTTATTAAATATTAATACTTGTATTTGGAAACTAAAAATCTAATTCAAAATTCAAAAATTCATATTATTAAATATTGACACATGGATTTAAAAACTAATGATATTAGAATATATCATCAATTTTTAAATACAGATATTAACATTTAATAAGGTGAATTTTTGAATTTTAAATTAAATTTTAATTAAATGAAATGATATTATTTAAAGTTAAGAATCTAATTTTTTTAAAGAATTGAACTAATAAACACTTTTTTCAAAAAAATTATGTAAAAATATATATAAGACTCGAGATATGAAGCCCTAAACCATACAAAGGCAAGAAATCAGAATGTGCAATGCAATAATATATAGTTGCAAGAAATCATGAAGGTTAAACCTATTATTTGCACATTATATATTATTTTTTATAATTAACACCTTTTAAAATTTTCACTCTCAATCAACACCCTTAATAATTTAAAATCTATAAAAAAATCTTAAATTACTAACAAAATCAAAGTGCAAATAAGGGGTTTAATTGTTAATTTTTAACTTATTTTTTATGAATTTTAAATTATGAGAGTATTGATTAGAAGTAAAAATTCTTAAAGAGTATTGATGACAAAAAGGATAATATATAGAGTGCAATAGGGATTTGACCAATTATGAATTGATGGTAAGGGATTGTGTTTCCTTAACAAATTGTTGAATGGTTTTATGTTGAGACTTTTGAGGTGTAATTACAATGTTTAAATATCATTTACTTCGTTTTATGAATTTTTTTTTGGTATATACCATTTAATGATTTGTTGCTTATCAATGTAATGAATTCGTCAAGAGAAATTTATTATTTAGTTGTTTTTGTTTGGAATTGGACTTAAATATTTAAGATTTGTACCATGTAAATATTAAATGTTCTAAATACTCTTACTTTTTTTTATTCTTTTATGTTATGGGCTTTAAAACATTTTAAGAAATTTTCTTTAATATCATTTGGGAGGGAAATAGTCTCAGGATATATAAAAACTAACTTAGAGATGCTTGATTGTAAAAAAAAAAAAAAGAAATTTTAAATAGTTATTTACAAATAGTGCAAAAAGTAGGTGCTTTTTTTTTTTTTATTTTTTTGAATATTGGGGTTGCGACTTGGATCTCACACCTCCAAATTCATATGAGATGTCTCTAACATGGATGGTGACCACTAAACCACTAGGACGTTCTTGCAAACCTTAAGTGCTTGAATGTATACATTTTGAAACTTTATATCTTTGTTGCACAATGGAAGGCAATCATCTCTTATTTTTTATTTCATCTCAATTGCATGTTATGCAATTCGAATTTAAGATATTTTATTTCTAATAGAAAGAGTTAACCATTAAATTATTTAGATTATTGATGAAACTTTATATTTTTATATACACACCCAAAATAACAGATATATCATATGTTAAATTTAAAAGCTCAAATCTTTATATGAGTTATCTCAAATTGAAAGTAACTAGATTACAATTTTCCTGGTTAGGGAATTTTGAAATTGATTAACAAAATTAAATTACTTTTTTTAACAATAGAGTATCTTAATTCCATAAAAAGAGGAGAGAGAAAATTTATAATATCCTTACATTATAAAATATTAGGTAATCTAATCACAACTATAAAACATTTCTAATTATATCTTATTTGTTATGTAGCCATAAAGTATAAGCAATGGTCATATCCTTTCCAAATTCCTCCCAACTAGTTAAAGTATTTAAACTTAGAATATCTAATATAAAGCATTAAAATCAAATTCTTTATTATTAGTATTACTTAATATGCTCAATTACTCAACCCAAAATCTCCTCCAAAGTGTCTAAGGGTGGCCGAGGTTGCCCTGCCTTGCCCCGCCTTGCTTCAGTAGCCGAACTACCTTATTGGCTTAGTAAGTGGCAGCACGACATGTTGGTGATAGCGCAAGTGATGGCCTTCAAGATGAAATTGTCATATGTACCAAAGAGTGCCATGTTTGTCAAAATATATTTAATTTTTAGTTTTTATTTTTATTATAGTGAGGAGTTTTATTTTTTATTTTTTGAATTCTGTACATTTGATTTGACATTGTTTTGGGGAATATTTGAGAATTTTGCTTTGGATTTGAGGTTAGAAGGTAGAATTGGCAGGGTATTGCAGGTAAATAAAATTAATGTTGGCACGTTACTATTGCCAAAAAACATTAGAATCGACACAACATTAAAATAGACAGGGTATTTTTTTTTTATTAATCTTTTAATACCTAATAATCACATTTGGACTCTATAAGGGGAATTAAGTCTAGTATCTACTTTTTTATTCATAAAATTTAAATTCAATATCTTATTTAAAGAAAATCAAACTCTTTTTATTCAAGTCAACATGTTTTTAGTAGAATACTAAATAGATAGGGTATTGACAACAATTATCAATTACTAAAAATTCTTCAATACCAAGAAAACTGCACGGCCGTGGCACACTTATAAGTTAGTTAATTTTTTTTGTGAACATGTTTATAAGAGTTGGATTCAAACCGTTGTCTGGAGAGGGGGAATACACTTTAACGTGGTTTAAAGTGGTTTTGTTGCCGTTGGCCCGAAGGTCCAAGTGCTATAAGTTAGTTAATTAATATATTTAATATCTTAATTAATATTAACATTTAAATTATAGAAATATTCGTGTGATTTTTTTTTTCTATCCAAAATTATAACAGTTAAAAAAAAAATTGCACGGCCCTACCTTGGCACGCCCACCTCTAAAAGTGGTCATACTTTAACATTCACATGAAAAGTTGTTAAATTAGGAGTGGGGAGTTTCATCACGTTTGTTTGTTTGTTTTTGTTTTGTTTTGTTTTGTTTTTTGTTTTTGTTTTTGTTTTTTTTTTTTTTGCATTATAGTGCACCAATATATAGTTTTTTGTTCCCTTAAGTTTGTTTAGTATAACGATTAAATTTCAATAGATGACGAGTAACGAATAGTGAATAATAGATAGCAGATGATGAATAATGAGAAGTGGATTATGGATAATACATAACGAATTTAATAAATATAACTATTTGGTTATGTAATAATTAACGGTTGT